ATATCCCTATGATATCATGTTTTCAGATCCTCTGGGAAAATTCCCAGTAGAGGAATAGCTGGCTTAAAGGGGATTTCCAGACCAACTTTTCTAAGGAATCTCCATATTGATTTCCATAACGGTTGCACCAGTCTACATTCCCACCAGCAGTGGAGAAGGGTTCCTTTTTCCCCACAGCCTCTCCAACATTTCTTGTTGGGTGATTTCTTTAGGATAGCCATTCTTTCTGGGGTGAGATGATATCGCAATGTGGGTTTTAATTTGCATTTCACGAATGACTAGTGATGTGGAGCATTTTTTCATGTATTTATTTGCTTGTTTAATTTCTTCTTCTGAGAAGCATGTGTTCATCTCAGATGCCCATTTATTGATTGGGTCTTTAAATTTTGAGGCCCTAATGCTTTTTAGTTCTTTATAGATTCTAGAGGGCAGACCTTTGTCTGAGTACTTATTTGTCATGATTTTTTCCAAATCTGTGGGTTGCCTTTTGACTTTGTTGGTAATTTCTTTTGACGTGAAAAAACTTCTCAGTAAGAGAAGATCCCAGTTTTTAATTCTTTCAATTGTTACCCTAGTGATTTGATTTCTGTCCATGCACTCTTTGCCTACCCCTATGTTTTCAAGAGTTCTTGCTACTTTCTCTTCCAGGAGATTTAGTGTCTCTGCTTTAATGTTTAGATCTTCAATCCATTTTGAAAGAAAAAGAAAAAGAAAATATCTGTTCCATGTTATGCCTAAGATATTTTGTATTCAGACAAATAGTTAAGGTAAACACAACTGCATATGTTGTAAGGTAATAGTAAGCTTCTCTTCTGGACGGTTAACAACCTAAGTTTGCAGACAAAAAATTGGAGACATAGAAGGTCGGCAAGGACAGCCAACATTTTGACCATAGCCTTTCAAGGTCAGTGAAGACTCAACACATAGGAAAACCTATACTGTAACATCGTGTGACTAAATTGTGTCCCAAATTTTCAGATGAAGGAGATTATGGGGCTGTAGAGCAACGTGATCAATGGCATAGAGTGTGCACAAGGAGAGTCACCTGGAGAGAAAACATTCTCTCAGGCTTTCATACAGAGCAAATTGGTCCAGCAATGGCCGTGACTCAACCACATAGTTGACACTGACAGAGAACTTACAAACTGCGGTACAGGGTTACAGGATAAATCCTGAGGGTAATTGACTGACATTAACAGATAAAAAAGTTACATTTCTTATATAGATCTTGATTTCCCTTGGTCTTAAACATCCAGCAGAAAAGTATAAAAATGCTGTATATGCAGTAAAGCCATATTAATATGCTGAGCTGTGAAAGCCTCAAGTCAACAAGTTCTGTGGTTATCCATAGTACAAGATGCAGACAGGATATCCTGTCAAAACAGTGTTAGTACAAATATTTCTTTTCATTGAATTAAGCAGAAATAGCTATATATCTATCCTAAATATTCTGCAAAAACAGATACAAAATGGTCCTTCCTTTGTATCCCCTTTTTTTGTTTAATCCTGTCAGAAATGGGTATTCCTTAGCATCTAAAAACTATACTTTGTGAGTTTAGCAAAAGAATCAAACACAGTCCATCAGTCCACAATAGTAGTGTTGATATAGAGGAAATTAAACTCTCAATCCCAAGCTTGCAAAACCGTTTAAGTGAATGTGAAGACAGAGTTTCAGATCTTGAAGATGCTGGTGTAGCTAGTGAAAAGGTAAGAAAGGATCTCTT